TTATTTTTTTAAATTTTGAGCAGGGTCTCTCTAGGTAGTTCAGGCTGATCTTGAACTCACTAGGTAGCCCAGGCTAGCCTCTAACATGCAGCAATTCTCCTGCCTCAACCTCCCAAGTTCTGAGACTACAGAATTGTGCTACCATGCCTGGAACAATGCTAAGATTTATTTTAGCTACTGAATGTCAGACAATTTTTTATTGTTCTTATGAAGAAAAAGTTAAAACACATTGAAAAAGAACAAGTAGTGTCTGAACAAGTATAACTGTTATCCAGTATTTTTTCAATTCAATATTTACCAAACACCTACTCTATATATAAGTTCTTGGCTAGTTAACAACTTGTTGATCAATGCTAGGGCCAGAATTCATTCAGGTACCATTTGGGTCTGACATGGACACTCCTGGACATCTGGAGTTAGTAATGAAAATATGGTCAACTTTGACCCATAATTTGAAAAGGTAGGAGCCTGCCATGATAATGAAACAAAATGATTCACAACAGATTAGGGCAAAGGAAACAGAAAAGGGCAAAGGATTTAAAGAAAACTCTTAAGTGTCCTTCCCCTGACAATACTTTTATTCCCAAAGGGGGAAAGTGGCTACATTAGCCTCATTATTCCTTTGCCACCTTCAGAAATTTCTGAAATATAAACATCATTTTCTAAAATGCCATCACTTTTTACACAGGAATTTCTGACAATACTAATCTTAGTAATTTTTACCTTTCTAGCCATTCCTCAGGATATGGACTAAAACTACTCTAAGTGAATCTACAACATGATGTAAAATGCAAGGAGACTTTGGTTTGAACTTAGGACCTTGTGTTTGCAAGGCAGACATGGCGCCACTGAGCTAAATCCCTGGCTCTAAAGTTTTTGTTTAAGAGTAGGATTTATTGGGGAATAGGAATGGAGAGTAGGAATAACTTCTGAGACACAAGAGGGGTCAAGTGAAGCTTTTAATTTAGAGTTTAAGCACCTTTGCTCAAAGACAGGAAAAGCCAGGAGCCAGTACAGTCCCAAGTGGTCTCCTTCACATGATTCTGGGTACACCTGGATATGCATAGATTATAATGTGGGGGGAGGCATAATTTTAACCCTGGAAAGAGGATTCTATAAGTAGGGAGAAGAGAGATGGGAATGGGGTAAAATAGTGTTATGTTCTACACAAAGCACTCTTACCTAGAATAAGTCTTATTTGTTCCTTGTAATAGGCTTGCTGGGCACAGGAAAGAGAGTATCATCCCTTCTAGTTTACAGAGGAGGAAACAATATCAAAGTAGTCAGAAAGAAACTGTTCAATGTTATTCAAACACTTTCAGGAGAAGACACTATGATCACCTCTGTCTACCCTGGTAAGGTATTAGCCTATCCCACTTAGAGACATCTTGAACATTAGGAGAGACTACGACTTCCTTTTACTTTTTTTTCCTCCCAAATACTGGTTATGACAAAAGAAAGAAGACAGGGTAGAATAAGATAGGGGGAATTATACAAAGAAAGCTTTGTTTTCAAAAGGGGTGGTGGTGAATAACTGTATCTCTTTCTCTTCCTTTTTTAGGCACGTGGTATGGGCTTATGGTAAAAACTTCTGTGGGTAGATCCTTGTAGATTTCACTAATCAGAGCTAAGGAGCACAGAAACTGATAAATCTAGGATTAAGCAGATACTGTAGAAAAAAATAACACAGTTCAAAAGATTTACACACTAGTGCCGGGGATTTAGCTCAGTGGTTTCGCCGCCTGCTGTGCAAGTGCAAGGACCCCAGTTTGATCCCCAGTACCAAAAAAACCCCCCCAAAAACAAAAGATTTACACACATTTATTCTACTTTGTAGTTAAGAAATACTTACTTTCTGTATATTAAGCAAGGGATAATAACTAGCATTTGGAACACACATCGAAATGCACTAATTTCTACAGCATGGACGTCTTGCACTTTTTTAACAAATAAAGAGGCCACTGAGAAAAGGAAGGCAGACAATAATGTGTAAAACAAGCCAAGTCCAGGACAGGGTGCTTTCTTCTTGGCTTCTGAAAAAGATTAAATTCTGGTTAGTCCTTGCTTCCAAGTGTATGTATTACCATTTTCATTTAGAAATTGAGAAAAATGGAACAATGCCAATGGCTAATAGATTACAAATACTATCTTCTAAGCACATTTACTTTCTACACCTGTACCATTTTCCCCATCAGTTATGAAGGAAACAATTTAAACTTGCAGTTTTAAAATGCTGTTTCACCCTATAAAACAGATTTCCTTTGGCTCATTGAAGAATCATCCCTCACGAGTCAAGAAGTAGAAAGCTTGCCAAGATGGCGAGAGAAATCTTTAAAAAACACTTTTCAAAAGGGAAGTGAAAAATACTTCCCAATGATAACATCTTACACCATCTCATTGGTGAACTTGACTTTCTGTTATCTGGTTATATGTTGATTAACCTTCCCCACAAGCTTGTGAGCTCTCCAGAGAGGGGACCTCAGCTATCCTGTTCAAGCCTGGAACATGGAAGACCCTGAATAAATACACGGTAAATTAAAGAGAGAAATTTACAGAAGACTCAAAAGTCTAACACCACTGGCAATGATATAATCTGAGAAGACCCTCTGTTGTGTAATGGTGAACTATTAATCATATCACTATTATCACTTCTCGGCCTTTTGGCTAAGATCAAGTGTAATCATATCACTACTTTTCACTGTACAGAATTCACCTTTCCAGCTGAGAGTAGGGGCTGTCTAACCCTCTGACTACCATGTGCCTTGCACAGAATTGCTTCATCTAAACCTTACTTCTTGGCTTGCTCTTATCTGTGAAACTTAGCTTTCTTCAAGGCATCAAGTATTCAATTGATTAATGACAACCTATATGGGCATTAAACTTTTGTTTTGCAACTTCCTATGCCTTAGTTTCCTATTATCCGAATAGAGTCTGTTTTTAATCTCAATCCCCTTATTGAAGGGAGAGCAAACTGGAGCTAGGTAAGCAGAGCACACCCTAAAGACAGTCTGCATACTGAGCAGTATGCTCTTTTCCATTTTCAAACACAAAAACAAGGAGAGAATTTAAAAAACACAACTGCTTCTTGTCAGTTAAGAGTGTATCAGAGGTGAATGATGTGTAATTTGTTGGAAAACTAGGATTATCATTCCAATCTAGGAAGGTACAATGTGTTACTCAGCTATGAAACAACATTGCCTAATGATGTTTTTTAAAATGCCATTCTTTGATAAATGTAAACACCAAACAGTACATTTCAAAATCCTCATTTCCATCAGATACCTTTGTCCACAAGTGACTGCAAGTCACCAACATATGATGATACAGTCTTTGCAGGGACACTTTATAGCCTGAAGTCCTCTGTAGTCAAAGATATCCTTCTCATCAGAGACCTCCATGTCTTTCTGTTCTAGGTGCACAGCTGGACACGCTGTTTTAGATTTGGAAGCTGTCATTCCATTACAGGTGCCAGAACCCTCCATGCTCTGTTCTGTAACCATGTGCTTAGATACTGCAGAAATGAACTGTTCATACCCATTAAAGCCATGAGAAGGAAGCTTTAGAAGACTTCCAAGTTAAGCACCACAAAATACATCCTTTGGCTGTGGTTGGCCTTAAGAGTTTGGCTTCTAAAATTGCAGAATTCAGATCCAAATAAAACAGTTCTTCTTAAAAGAAACTCAACCCACACATAGAACCTCCACCTTAGAACAAAATGAGAAGATTAAGAACAAAAAACATCTCCCTGGTCTATAATTCAGGGATTTTTCTCCAACCTAAACTCATTAATTTTACTTCAAGAATATTGTAATTTAACTTATTTTAAATATTTTTTTAGAATGTAATTTTACATATTCGGCTCTTTTTCTTTAAAACACATACACTTTTTTTTTTGCCTCTAAATCCTTAAGGCTCATGTTTCCTCATTGGGATAGGACAGATCTTAAGAGTGTTTGAGGGCCTACATGAACTTGATTATTTGTTAATGTGAGTGAGGAACGGCTCTACTCAGTTAAACCTCAGACTCTTACTGAATAATAATTTCAATTTTTTCAGTCAATGGAGATACTCACGGGGGTGACACAATTCAAAAAAGCATTTGCCCATGTAATATATTTCCATGTTCATATCCCACAACAAACATATCTAATAATGTGGCAACTCTAAATAATTCAAATTAAGTGGCTACCATGTAATTTCCCAAAGAATACTAAAAACTAGTTCAGCTGCTCTATCCTCTGCTTTAAGCTGGTGATTCACAATCTTAGTTGAGAATTAGAATCACCTAACTTAAAAATTAATTCCCATACCCTGCCCCAGATCAATAGAAACACAACCCTTATACTATAAAGGGTTCCGTTAGTTTGAGGACCACAGTTGGACTACAGAACTCCTCCAGGATTGAGTGTGAAGCACAGGAAGAAGACAACTTTACCTTGTTTCAGTCTAGAATTTGTACTGTTCTTGAAGAAACCAAGGAGGTATCTTAGGACAGCCTGACATTGTCCATTAAGGCTATTCAACAATGTAAGAAAACGGTTAATATTCCAACCTAAAGTTGAAAATGAAGTTTGTTAAGACAAGCACTTAGACCAAGAGTCTAAAAAGAGACTGTCAAAAAGTGATGACATCGCAAGCAAAAGGTACCAAGTTTGATCCCCAGTACCAAAAAAAAAGTGATGCTTAAATGTAGTATTTCTAACTTGTGTCAGACAGATAGGCATTTTTTGTTTCTTAAAAATAACGGGGGGCATAGTTAAAATTTTATACATCAAGTGATTGCTATTATGGAATGTTGCAGGTCAGATGTGGTTTATATTTTATTTGAAATGTCTGACTGAAAAGGGAGGGGGAAGCAAATATTTGAAATTTGGAAAAATCTTAAAACTTTTGGGAAGAAATTGTAATTTTCACTTACATTTTCTTAAAGGTATAAAAGGTTTATAATTGATATATTGAACCATAACAATTGGTGATTATGGAGCAGGTAATTATAGCCTGCAAAAAAGTTGCAATCTAAGAATTTTAAAAATTAAGATCCTAAAGTTTTTGTTTAATTACATCAAATTCTGTATGTGAAATTTTAAAATGCAGTAAGTTTTGAATGGCTTCATCTTGTCTGATATAAGTAAATGAGTCTGTAGACTGTGATCTCCCCAAACTAAAAAGTACAATACCTGGAATTGTGTTTTTTATGGTTGTAGTGTTGATAAACCACTAATATGGAGAAAATAAAGGAATTACACAGTGCAAAAAAAAAAAAGTGATGACAGCACAGTGGTTTAAAATGTTTTACGGAAATCTTGTTTCTCAGAATATTATCTGATCACCTTCTAACAACTATAGAAAGCCTTATTTGCTAGGGACTTTTTTGGAAGTTAAAAGACACCATAAGATTCTTTGCAGCACTCACACTTGTTTCTCATTTTGGTATGTGCTACCTGACTGTCCACTACTCCTTGATGATTCACAAACAAGAAACTTTTAAAAAAAAAAATTGCAAGTACTAACTCAGAATGGCTTTCATCTACAGGGTGACATGGTAAGAAATTGACCTCTTCAAGGGCTGCACATCCGGTCATCTGCCTGCTGTGGAGGCCCCAATCTATGCATAAATGATCAGAAAAGTCTGAAAATTTGTTAACATTTAGGACAGAAATGGAACAAGAATCTCCTAAGGTTCTCTAAGTTGGGGAAAGTGCATACAAGGAGGGAAAATTGCGATGGAATTAAGAGACACAGAAATCCCAGGTCATACTTAAAGGAGAAGCTCTAGAAGATGAGCAGTGTAACTTTGTCTTAAAAGATCTCCCTATGCTTCTGTCTAGGAAGCTGTTCCGGTGGAAAAAACTTAGACTAGGTCTTTGGCAAGCTAAGATCCTAACCCTGGAGCTGCCTGGACCTGCCCTCTACCCACAAGAGCCACAACTTGGGAAAAACAAACAAAAAACTCTCCAAAGCCCTCAACTTCCCTTCTCCGTCAGAGAAGGGGCCTTAACAAAATCATGAGTTGTTTATGAGGGGTCCTTGGCTTTGGACACACGACTGGGAACTCCTCAACCAGGTAAGCCTTGTTTTTAATCAGTTGCTAAAAAGTCATCCTATCCCAGAGAAGGTTACAAACCAGTAGCCCTACTCAACTCAAGATTCTATGACTACGGGGCACTTTTATAGGGACGTTTTTCAACTTTCCCTTCTAGAAGCTCCATTTACTACATTAGTCAACTTCCTCCTAACAACCCCCGCTCTGTCGCTGCTGGCCTCCCACCTCTGACGTCCGACAGGTCACAACAAACTGCAATCTGACTCCAAGGTCTTGCCCGCAACACTAATTACAAAAGCGACCTTAGGATCCCCAAAGGATTGCAAACACAATCAAACTTTCTCTTGTCTCGGCGCCGGTGGGGGGCTCAGGGAGGCTTGACAGCTGGCCAAGTGACAGCTCGCCGGCAGCGTGGAGATGGGAGGCACGGCGGGCACAGCACCCCAGCTGCCGAGACCCCAAGTCCCCAAGACGCCCTCCCGGACCCCCAGGCGAGACCGCGACGGGTCCACACCCGCACTCACCTGGCTCCGCGCGCCAGCCGCACGGCCAGGGAGGGCAGCGCCAACATTTGCCGCGGCCGGCCGCTCCAGTCGCCTCGGCGTCCGCCGACTCTTCACCCACGCTCGAAGGCGCGGGGTCAGTTAGTGACAATCCGGACTCCCCTTGATCGGAGGACTTCCCGGTGGACTCCGGGGCACTCTCCTGAGGCCCCATCTCGCGGCCAGCGTTCTCCCCGCAGCCAGTGCGCCGTCTGGCGCCCGCAGCCGCTGCTCCGCTGCCTGGGTCTTCCGGCCGGCGGGGGCCCCGGCGCATGCGTGCGCTTCCTCTCTCCCCTCCCCCCTTCTCACCCCGGGGACCTAGAGCTTGTCCTCCGCCGCCCTCAAGCGTTCGGCACCCGGCGCCACCTCCCTGGTCAGACTGCCGTCCCCACCGCTGACCCGAAGGCGTCCATCTCTCTGCTGTGGTCTGTTGGATGGACCAGCGGTTTGGAGTCTCCTTCCCAAGGCCTAATGGCTGTCTTTGCACCCGAGCGCCACAAGTCTAGTGCCTTCTCTTGAGATCCAGAGTGGATGTTTTGGGGGCACTTCATTCATTACCTCTGGGATACCTTGGAGACTTTATAAAGCACTGTGCCTGTCTTTAAGCCATCTCTTGTCTAGTTGCCACTGATCCAAGGAGGCCAGCCTGCACTACATAACGAGACCCTGTCTCAAAAAAAAGCCAAAACAAAACAACCTCTCTATGTTTTTGTACTTTTCTTCCTATTACCAGCCATTTCAGTTCCTATAGACCACCAGTGACAGTAGATCATGATTATGAATGAAGTGAGAAGTTTCTCTGAACATCCAGAAAGCCAAATGTAGTTGCATAGTTGTATTCTAGGGTTTAGATGTGGGGAGGGTTAAAGAATCCCCATTTTCAAATCAAGGAGGTAGTGGCTAGGAAGTGTGGTAAAGAAGAAGGAAATGTGATAATTTGAGAAAGAAGTACCTTGACTTCTCTACTTTCAACACCACACTCAAAAAGGGAGAAGAGTAAGGGAAGCCAACAGCTACCACACTAGTGTTGAGCAGAGTGACTAAGATGTGATGGGAAGATATCGGTCTTGTAATCTATTCCCCTTAACTTTCTTCTTTTCCACTGCTGCCCTTGATCTATGAATGGTATCAGTCATATTTAGTCTCCTGAGGCAAGAGATTAGGGCTACAGCATGGCAGACTGGTTGGGGAAGGAAGTGTGAATTGTTAATTATGAAATTCCAGGATACAAGGACAGAACAGTTTCCAAAGCCCTGTATGTGGACCCAATCTGAGAGTGCTGTTTTCAAGTCCTCTGGAGAGACCTCAAGCAGGTTTTCCATAGGACAGCCTAGGCCTGATGTCAGCCTGAACAGTGGGAGGTCACCATTGATCTCTGGGCCACTGTGGTCTCTTTTGCATGGTGCTCCACTCTCTCCCTCTAGAGTGTACTTGTTTTCCTACTTTACCTTGGCCCAAACCATTCTGCAGAGCATATTGCTTTTCCTACCTTTAATACATTTCCTACCTTTTGTGCTTGTCCAATTTTTTTGACCAATTTTTTTCTTAAGGCAGAAAGAACCTAGAAACCGCCTCTAGAAGGAGATTCCAACATCCCAAAACATGGTAACACTCATATCTTAGCCATGCAGACATAAAAGGCAATTAATAAGAAGAATATGGACCATACTAGAAGTCAAAAGATGTGAACCCAAGAAAAGAATAGACTGGTTAAAGTTCTCTCTTGAGCATTGTTATTTTGGGATTTTAGTAACACACTGACTTCCCTTGTGGTGTGAAGGATGGAGGAGACCATCTCAGAGCCCATTGCAATAGTCCAGATGTGATTCTGACCCAAGGTAGAGGAGATAGGAAGAAGCGATTGACTTTGTGGTGGCCCGGAGTGGGAATGGACAGGATTCACTGACTAGATGTGGAAGAGTGTTGGTTCTATATGCAAAACCATATAGTACTGCAAGTGAAACTTTTATGTGTCTAAAGGGATTCAATCTTCCAGTGGGAACAGGAGCTCTCACTTTGATGCAGGAAGCCCAGTGGCATGGCACACTCATAGTTCTTGCGTCAAAAAGACAGATGAAAGTGGAGGAGAGGTAGAGTCTACCTGACCCTCACCATTCGTGTGACAGGAAATGGAGATGTTCAGGTACTGAAGAGTTAGATTCCCGATTTCTGCTATTCTTTGCATGTCAAGGATGTTCCCAAAGAAGTCATTTGTATGATTATGAACTATCTTTTTTTTTAGTATATCACTGGATACAAACCATACTAGTAACTTGGTACTAGTTACCAAGACTGCTTTTATTAACCATCAAAAATATAACTTGGGAAATAACAGTTTGTTCCAAACAGTAAAGCTTTAATGTTTATGTCTTGGAAAGAAACAGTAAGATCATATTTCTAATAACTTTGTTAAATTAAAGAGGGAATAAGCAAGCTTGAGATCACCTAGGATAAATGTAGGTTAGTCCACTAGAAAGACAAAATAAACTGTTCAAATAAATGATATCTGACTCTGAAATACAACAGAAAAACAATGCCAGGGATAGTACCTCAAAAAATTATGCATAGAATTTTCATATGATCCAGCAGTTCCATATCTGGGTATATACCCGGAAGAATTGAAAGCAGGGACTTGAACAAATATTTGTCCACCCTATTTCATAGTAGTGAAACAATTCTGTACAAATCAAGGTATGATTTCATGAAAATTGAAGAATGAAGTCAGAAACCAAAAGGAGAAAGTTGGAGAGTTTTCATTGGAAATAAGAAAAAAAGGCTCCTGGTTTTTAAAGAAGGGGAATCTGAAAAGTGGAATTAACACATGGCTCCTCCATCCAGAAATTTGTATGGGTAAGCAGAGCATGGAGATTGCTCAATTGTTTAGTGGCCCCCTATTACAAGTGGCTCTGTGAATTTAACATGACCAACTGAAACTCAGATTCTCTAACTTGGTTACTCAGCATGTAGGGTTCAAAGGAAACTAAGGGTTTTGTTTGGTTTGGTTTGGTTTTGAGACAAGGTCTTGCTATGTAGCCTAGGCCAGCCTTGAACTCATGGCAATCCTCCTGCCTTAGCCTCCCAAGAGCTGGGATTTTAGGCATAAGCCATCAAACCTGGCCAGGAAATTGAGATTTTAAAGAAAAAAGAGTTTTTTGTTTTTTGTTTCTTGTTTTTCATTTTAAGTTCCTGGAAATTCAGCAGCTTGGTAGAGAAGGGCTACAACTCCTTTTAGTAGGGAGGGGGTTGCACTCCTTATTTCCTGAAGTTCATTTTTGGTCCAAAGTTCTAGTTCACTGCCTATTATTTTAATTCTTATGAACATGGCTGATCACTCAACTCTGTCTCAGGCTCTTCCCTAGCTAGCTGCCTTATTCATAAGCTAACTAAATAAACTTTTAAAAATAGTAGCATTATTCACAAAGCCAAAATGTAGGAACAACTCAGATGTCTGTCAGTGGACAAATAGACAAATAAAAATGTGTATATCATGCAACGGACTATTATTCATCCTCAAAACAGGAAGGCAATTCTGACATATGCTACAAGATGAACCTTAAAGACATGCAGATGAAATAAATCAAACCCAAAGTACAAATATTGTACTTATTAAAGGGGCCTCCCTTAGTCAAATTCCTGGAGACAAAAAGTGAAATGGTGATTGTCGAGGTTTGAGGTGAGGAGGGGTTGGGGATTTGGTGCTTAAAGTTTGCAGAGTTGCAGTTTGGGATGATGAAAAAGTTTTGTGGGAGCACAGTGGTGAGAGTTGTACAGCAATGTGAAGGTACTAATGTTGCTGAATTATATACTTAAAATAGTAAATTTTATGTTTTGTACATTTTACCAAAAAATTTAAAACATTTTTTTAAAAAGCCCTGTAAAACCCTCCTGGAAGTATACAATCGAGAGCGAATAAGCAAGCAATATAAATTCAAAGCTAAAGTTAACTAGGCCTGTATTCACACTGAGGCATCTAAGGTATAGTAATTTTCCTCAGCACATCCTTGTCGTCTTTTCAGTTCTGGCCCATAATTATAGCATAAAAGAAGGAGACAAGAGGAGAGGGAAAGGCAGCATGGTATAGCGTCTTCAGGATTTTTGAAAAATTTTCACCCAAGTATTCCTAAAGGCTAAAACATGTGAATTTGGAACTCTACACTTTAATCTCTAGAGACAGTTTAAAGCCCTTAAAAGATTTTGAAGGTTTCTTTGAAGTCCTATGTTCTATGAAAAAAAAAAAAAAAAAAAGCCTATTTTCCATTCTAGCCCTAATATATTTATCCTTATCTCATACCATTTTGCATGCAACACATATGACTAATGTTTGCGTACTTTCACAAGACTAGTTACAATAGGGGGTGGGGTGGGGATAAAAGAGATTTTCAGCCTCTCAGGGTTGGGGAGGGGGATGATATTGGAATGAAAAATGATATTGGCATTACTAGCACCATGCAAAAACGGGTGTCCCATGGCTATAGGTCTAGGAGGCTGGGTCTGTGTGGTTGTAAAGCTCTGAATTCCCCTTGCTCTCCCAGCCATCATTTCCTCAGCTCTGAAGTCACGGGGCTGCAACCCCAACAGTTGCAAGGACAGAGGAGCACCAGTGGGCCCTGGCACCTCCCTTCCCCTGTGATCGGGACTGTCTTCAGTTCTTTCTTGTTTTCCTACCCTCTCGTCTGTTCCCACACTGTAGAAGGTAACTCCTGTACACATAAATTATTTCTGGCGCCCTGGGAGAATCTCCACTCTCCTCTGAGAACTCGCTTTTTGTTTAGAAATTCTCTTGAGACTGAGTGTGCCTGAGCTTTCAACTTAGCCTTAAATGATACTGTGTAATCCACTTTAACCTCAGATTTGGGATTTGGATACTTGACCTTTGTTTTAATAATTACCATTTATGAAATACTCAAAATATGCCATGAACTTTTAAGTACATCAGTTCATTTAATCCTCAGGTGAACTGTTTAACATAATGGTTAAAAGCAAAGCTTTGGAGTCAAACTGCCTTGGGTTCCCATCATGACTACACCGCTTAACAGCTATGTAACTTCTGAGTAATGGGTTCTTTTTCTCTGAACCTCCATTTTCACATCCATAAAATGGGACAATATGACCGGGATTTAGCTCAGTGGTTCCACTGCCTGCCTCGCAAGCACAAGATCCTGAGTTCAATCTCTGGTACCATAAAAAAAAAAAAGACATAAATGGGACAATAAAAAGTATCTAGGTGTCAGGATGAATCAGATAATACAGGTAGAACATCACATAGGAAGTACTCTTCTTTTTTAAAGT